ATTCTCTCTCTCTCTATATATATATATATATATATATATTATATATATATATATATATATATATACAGTTAAAGTCAGAATTATCAGCCCCCTTCGATTTTTTTTCTTCTTCTTTAAATATTTTCCAAATGATGTTTAACAGAGCAAGGAGGAAATTTTCACAGTATGTCTGATAATATTTTTTCTTCTGGAGAAAGTCTTATTTGTTTTATTTCAGCTAGAATAAAAGCAGTTTTGAATTTTTTATTAACCATTTTAGGGACAAAATTATTAGCCCCTTTAAGCTATATTTTTTCTCGATAATCTACAGAACAAACTACTGTTATACAATAACTTGCCTAATTTCCCTAACCTGCCTAGTTAACTAAATTAACCTAGTTAAGCCTTTAAATGTCAATTTAAGCTGCATAGAAATGTCTTGAAAAATATCTTGTAAAATATTATTTACAGTGATCATGTTAAAGATAAAATAAATCAGTTATTAGAAATTAGTTATTAAAACTCTTATGTTTAGAAATGTGTTGAAAATCTTCTCTCCGTTAAACAGAAATTGTGGAAAAAATAAACAAGTGGTCTAATAATTTAGGGGGGCTAATAATTCTGAATTCAACTGTATATATATATATATATATTTTTTTTTTTTTTTAACAAAATTGCCCTTTTTATTTTTATTATTATTTTATCTTATTTTAGTTCATCTTTATTTTCTATTTATTTGTTTATGTATTACTTTCCTCGCATGAGAATGCATTTTTTTATTTTATTCTTTTTAAAATATATATATTTATTTGAACGTCGGGATGGGGCGGGAGTTCTTTGATTGGTATTTGGTTACTAATACAGTATGAATGTATCACATTTTTCTGAAACAATAAAATGTAAAAAAAAAAAAAAAAAACAAACAAAAAAAACATCAACTGCACATTGTTACTTTTGACACAGTCAGTAGGGACAAAAGTAACACACGCCTGGGTCAAAAGTAACAATGTTAGATACATTTACTACCTTAATCTTGTTTATGTTAAACATATCTGACTATGACCTTGTTAATAATCACTGCATGTCACAACATATTAATATTGTTTCTTCTGGAGAAAGTCTTATTGGTTTTATTTCGGCAAGAATAAAAGCAGTTTTTAATTTTTTAAAAAGCCATTTTAAGGTTATGATTATTAGCCCCTTTAAGCTATATATTTTTTCTCGATAGTCTACTGAGCAAACCACTGTTATGCAATGACTTAACTAATTACCCTAACCTGCCTTAACCTAATTAACCTGGTTAAGCATTTAAATGTCACTTTAAGCTGTATATAAGTGTCTTGAAGAATATCTAGTCTAATATTATTTACTGTCATCATGACAAAGATAAAATAAATCAGTTATTAGAGATGAGTTATTAACACTAATTTGATTAGAATTGTGTTGAAAACATCTCTTCATTAGACAGAAATATACAGGGGGCTAATAATTCAGGAGGGCTAATAATTCTGACTTCAACTGTATTCCTAAAGCACTAAACGCCCTTCAGGCGATGCAGTGGTGCAGTAGGTAGTGCTGTCACCTCACAGCAAGAAGGTCGCTGGTTCGAGCCTCAGCTGGGTCAGTTGGCGTTTCTTTGTAGAGTTTGCATGTTCTCCATGTGTTCGCGTAGGTTTCCTCCGGGTGCTCCGATTTCCCCCACAGTCCAAACACATGCGGTACAGGTTAATTGGATATAGGCTAAATTGTCCGTAGTGTTTGAAAGTGAACGAGTGTGTGTGGATGTTTCCCAGAGATGGGTTGCGGCTGAAAGAGCATCCGCTGTATAAATGTGCTGAATAAGTTGGCGGTTCATTCCAGTGTGGCGACCTTGGATTAATAAAGGGACTAAGCTGAAAAGAAAATAAATGTATGAATGAATGACTAAACACCCTTCACTATTAACTAAGAAACGAAAGTTGTTTAAGGAAAGTAAAACTAATCACACCCTGAAAATGCTGTTTTACACGTTTACAGTAGACTATGCAAACAGGAACAGCGAGAATCTGAAGAATGAGGAGAGTTAATTCTGTTCTCTTAATTTTATATTGTAATGGTTGAGGTTTATTTCTGAATATGATCAAGTAAGTATAAGTATTGTTCATTATCAGTAAATACATTAATGAAACCTTATTGTAAAGTGACCAAATATACAGTTGAAATCAGAATTATTCGCCCCCCTATTAATTTTCTTTTCTTTTTTAAATATTTCCCAAATTATGTTTAACAGAGCGAGGAAATTTTCACAGTGTGACTGATAATATTTTTTTCCACTGAAGAAAGCATTATTTGTTTTATTTCGGCTAGAGTAAAAGCAGCTTTTGATTTTTAAAAAGCATTTTAAGGTCAATTTTATTAGTCCCTTTAAACAATATTTTTCCCGGTCTACAAAACAAACCATCATTATTTAATAACTTGCCTAATTACTTTAACCTGCCTAGTTAACCTAATTAGCCTAGTTAAGCCTTTAAATGTCACTTTAAGCTGTATAGAAGTGTCTTGAAGAATTTTTTGTTTTATTTTGGCTAGAATAAAAGCAGTTTTTACATTTTTTAAACAGCATTTTAGGGACAATATTATTAGCCCCTTTAAGCTTTATTTTTTTTCAATAGTCTACAGAACAAACCATCATTATACAATAACTTGCCTAATTACCCTAACCTGCCTAGTTAACCTAATTAACCCAGTGAAGCCTTTAAATGTCACTTTAAGCTGTATAGAAGTGTCTTGAAGAATATCTAGTAAAATATTATTTACAGTCATGATGGTAAAGGTAAAATAAATCCATTATTAGAGATGAGTTATTAAAACTATTATGTTTAGAAATGTGTTGAAAAAAATCTGCTCTCTGTTAAACAGATATTGGGGAAAAAATAAACAAGCGGTCTAATAATTCAAGGGGGCTAATAATTCTGACTTCAACTGTATTTCCCAAATGATGTTTAACAGAGCGAGGAAATTTTCACAGTATGTCTGATCATATTTTTTTCCACTGAATAAAGCATTATTTGTTTTATTTCGGCTAGAGTAAAAGCAGCTTTTGATTTTTTAAAAAGCATTTTAAGGTCAATTTTATTAGTCCCTTTAAACAATATTTTTCCCGATAGTCTACAAAACAAACCATCATTATTTAATAACTTGCCTAATTACTTTAACCTGCCTAGTTAACCTAATTACCCTAGTGAAGCCTTTAAATGTCACTTTAAGCTGAATACTAGTGTCTTGAAGAATATCTAGTCTAATATTATTTACTGTCATCATGACAAAGATAAAATAAATCAGTTATTAGAGATGAGTTATTAAAACTATTATTATTAGAAATGTGCTGGAAAAAAAATCTCTCCATTTAGGAGGGCTAATAATTCTGACTTCAACTGTATTCCTAAAGCACTAAACACCCTTCACTATAAGAAACAAAAGACAATAAATGAATGAATGACTAAACACCCTTCACTATTAACTAAGAAACGAAAGTTGTTTAAGGAAAGTAAAACTAATCACACCCTGAAAATGCTGTTTTGCATGTTTACAGTAGACTATGCAAACAGGAACAGCGAGAATCTGAAGAATGAGGAGAGTTAATTCTGGTCTCTTAATTTTATATCGTAATGGTTGAGGTTTATTTCTGAATATGATCAAGTAAGTATAAGTATTGTTCATTATCAGTAAATACATTAATGAAACCTTATTGTAAAGTGACCAAATATACAGTTGAAATCAGAATTATTCGCCCCCTATTAATTTTCTTTTCTTTTTTAAATATTTCCCAAATGATGTTTAACAGAGCGAGGAAATTTTCACAGTATGTCTGATAATATTTTTTTCCACTGAAGAAAGCATTATTTGTTTTATTTCGGCTAGAGTAAAAGCAGCTTTTGATTTCAGCGAAGAAATACTCATCTCACTTTCAGTGAAACAAAAGTCTTTCTTCCTGGAGGAAAAACACGGAACAGAGTGTTCAACTGTACACAGCTAATAAATACACACTGACATTACCAGTCCACACAAACAAAGCGGAGCTCATTTCTGACGACACGATAAACGTTTGACGAATTTTAACTGCATGTGCATGTCCACAATTGAATGTGTGTCATAGCTGTTGTTTCTAATTTTTTAGAATTTCTAATAAATGAAATAAAAAGACTTACATGTATTCGAGCAAGGGGACGGTGTAGCAGCGAGCTCGTGAAACGCGCTTCTTGTTTGGGTGGGAGGGGGCGTCGCTCATGAATATTAATTACTGTAAATTCAAGATGATTGGACACTTTCTTGAAGCCTCGACGCCAGCGTCGTTACTATTCATAGGGGTTTATTATTATTATTATTTTTGAACAAATAAGTACTTTTTTTTCAGAAGCCTAACTTAAGCCACTGTCCAAACTATCTAGTTACTATCATCATCATCATCATTATTATTATTATTATTATTATTATTATTATTAGAACAATTACAGTCATGTTGACATACAACAGTCTGCCATGTCGGCTTTAAAACGTGAATATGGTTATTTATACATTAGTTTCCACTGATTTAACTTTTTATGATGAGTTCTAATCCGCATGATTTGACCAGGAACACACTAGCCATATCCTACTACTTGACCATTTTCGCAGTAAGCGCATTGGAATGAATTGTTTTATTTATTTCACAAAAACAATATAAATGTATACATATTTGTATTTAACAACATCAATATTTTCAAAAAAAAATCAAACAAGATCAACTTATATATGTGTATAAATATGGTGTATGTGTACTAAGAGAGTAAGAGATGATTCTCTTACACAGTTAGATTAAAACATTTTTTCACAAGTATTTTGCTTCACTGTTGCTTCATAATCGTGTCAGAAAACATACATTTATTGTTTAAAATGGAGTAATAAAAAGTGTGACAGTGTGTGTGTAGAGAGAGAGACAGAGGGAGAATTGAATTTCCAACAAGCCTTTAATACAATTTTTAAAAATATTATACAATCAAATGTTACACATAAAAATCAACTTGTACTTTTCTAGTGGCATAAATTGCTTATTGATTTTTTGCTTAACCCAAAAGAAAGTTTAATCACTGACAAAAAACCACAAATTAAAGTTCCCAAACTGAGAGAGAGAGAGAGAGAGAGAGAGAGAGAGAGAGAGAGAGAGAGAGAGTGTGAGAGAGAGAGAGAGACAGAGAGAGAGAGAGAGAGAGTGTGAGAGATGTTATATTATAATGTTAACATTCAATGAATCAGCTTGATTTTGTACATTCATGGCTGTTTAGTTAACTGTTCTTTATTAATTCTCAACAATAAGAGGACTGATGATTAAACTTAATGCAGTATAATTCCCCACAGTTTCACAGAATCACTAGGATGGATCACTCGGAATCATCAGGAGGTCTTTGTAGGTTTTCATCTCTCTGTGCAAAAAGGGAAAAATAAAGATGTGATGTTACTGTATAGTCATTGTACATGTGTTTTCATTTTAGAAAAACAATAAATCAGTTGTTGGAAAAACAGAACAGATATTTTTAGATAATGATAAAAACATGCACACAATCAGCATAGTCATACAGAGAGCTTTTGACTCATGTTACAGATTTACAACAAGAGTAATGTTCTCTGTGAATGTCACTGACATTATTTTAATTAGGTCAGGTGTATTAACTCTAATGGCTAATGGACAGACGGCTGCTTCTCACTCAGGGCTGCTGTTTATGCTAATGAGGGAGAGATGGGCACTAGTGGGCGGGGCTTTTCCCCTCTGATGACACGTACAAAGGGAGAATGTCAATCAAAGTGTTTCATTTATCAAGTCTGATTAGAACAAATACAATTCATTCATGTTTACCATTAGAGGCTGGATATATTCACACACTGACTGCTGACACACAACTGTGTTTAAACCCCTTATAAAACGGATTAAAATCTGCCTTAAAATAAACAAACAGGAAAACAGATATGCCAAAGATTTGATAATGACAATTTGAACTACTTTAATACACAAGATATGGGGGTTTGAAAGAAAGTGATTGTAATAAATGTTTTGCTGTACCTGCTGTCGAAGTTGTGTGTTTTCTAATTCAAGTTCCCGTATCCTTTGTTGCAGTTCTTCAATTTCATTATCATGGTTATTATTATTAGCATTCTCCAGATTGGCATCCTCCAGATTGTTCCCTACCATTTCATTTTCAGCATTATTAGCACGCTGCAGATTGTTCCTAAAGTTGTCACAGAATCTTTCTAATTCCTCCCTATTACCAGAGAGATTTATCGTATGCCCAATGGGCTCTTCAACAGTGTGTTGGAAGGTCCTCTGAGAAGTGATGTCTTGATATTCCTCTTGAAGTAGTCTTCTCCAAAAGATGTTAGCCGTGGGTCTAAAGAGCAGGATATGCAGTAAACCTTCACGATAAATTCTGAAAAGAACATTTGGGTTGTTGTTGAGCTGCATGTCTCTGTGGGTTTTTGTCTTTGGGTCATCTTCTCCATACATGTCTCTGACCACTTCACCTTCTGCTGCTGCAGGTATTTCAACTTCTGTTGCTGGTCTTGCCATTTCTAGTCAGTACTGCTCTGTGATAGTTGGAAAGTTTCTTAGGGTTTGTAAGGACGAGATTTCACCACGAGGTGTTAACCTGCTCGTAGCAGCACCTCATCCTTATATACCCTGGTGATTGTGCAAGCCAAATACTGAAACGATGGAAACTATTGTTCAGTCGGCACATATTTGATTCAGTGCCAAGATGAAAACCTCCAGACTGGTTTGTCCACTAGATCATACAAACTACCTTAATACAAGCCAAATCAAATTCATTTAGCATACATATTGTGTAAACTACAGTATCCGCATTTCAGAGTATTTTAAATTGTGCCTTGAACTGCAGCTCATCAAATACATTAGTTTATTCTGGAGTCAAATAAAACAAAACCCGTAAAGCATGTAGCCGCCGGTCCTACGCCACCCAACCCGCTCCGAGCTGGTATCGAACCGGCGACCTTCCGCATGGGAGTCGGGTGCTCTACCCTTTTTTTTTTCTTTTTTTTTTTATTGAAATAATTTCAATTACAATCTTGTACAGTAAATCATAATAAAACAGACATTAAAAGATCATTTCATATTCAAAACATTAAAACTGTGGTATTTTCCAGTTCATTTCTTTAAAAACTTGACATGCTTTGTCCGTTAGAAATTTGTGCAGTTCACTCAAAATGTTCTCATTTTTATACATCATTTTTATTATACATAGGTTTACTATTTTCTTATTTTCATTTTTCCTATTCCATCCCAACATCACTACTCTGCTCCATTCTGTTTCATTACCAAGGAGGCTAGACCATGGCCTCTAGTGTATGTCGCTAGAGCACCTTTAGAGGTCAGAGGAGTGAGGTTTACCTGCACAGCACTCACTAGCTGGCCTCCGTTACACATGTGTGGAATGAAATGTCACGTCTCCAAGAACCAAGAACACAATACTGGATGTAAAAGCAAGTATAATCTAATCTACACATATACTATAGATACTTAACTATACGCATAACCTAAGACAGACTATACAAGTGCTTTTACATGAGACTGAACAATAGTGTGCAAGATATTGCGCAAAAGAGGTATTTAAGGGTGAAGAAAACAAGTAGTACAACATGACTTGTGGTGCATTCACAAGTAAACACTGACATAGCGTACATAGGAGTGTCTGCACACAAGATTTCAGAGAAGAGCAGAATCACATCTGATCTGCGGGAAATGATGAGGTGTGTATGTACAGCGTAAAACAAAACCTAAAGCTCATGGCCAAATGACTGCAGGTACAAGTCATTCACTGAGCACACACTTTATACAATCTGAACTACTATTGAGCAGGGCCAGACAGAATCTGCAGACATTGTTTCGCAAATTTTATGGAGAATTTTGTTTGAAAATATATATGCAGAGTGATTTTGGGAGTACAGTAACTATAAGAACGTGAAACATGAAACATTCGTTTATTAATTTTCTTGTTGGCTTAGTCACTTTATTAATTTGGGGTCGCCACAGCGGAATGAACCGCCAACTTATCCAGCAAGTTTTTAAGCAGCAGATGCCCTTCCAGCCGCAACCCATCTCTGGGAAACATCCACACACATTCACACACACAATTTAGCCTACCCAATTCACCTGTAGCACATGTCTTTGGGCTGTGGGGGAAACCGGAGCACCCGGAGGAAACCCACGCCAACAAGAACAGAGGTTGTTTGAGGAATGAACAAAAATGAAAGTACAATTTAAATACAACATGTTCAGCACAAACCCTTACTTAACGTTCTTTGAAAGCAATGTTTAAACTATTTTAACATGATCTCGTGATTATTGAGTATTACCCGAAGCAGACAGGAATCGGGGACGAAGTTTAAAGAGAATTTTAAAAGAGAATTGCTCATTGTTCATTCATTTTCCTTCAGCTTAGTCTCTATTTCAGTGGTCGCCACAGCGGAATGAACCACCAATTATTCCAGCATATGTTTTACACAGCGGATGCTCTTCCAGCTGCAATCCAGTACTGGGAAACACCCATACAAACTCATTCACACACACTATTGCCAATTTAGTTAATCAATTCCCCTATACCACATTGAAGGATTCGGATTTCTGCTTTCCAGTCCATCTTATCATGGACCAACATTTATCCTTTTCATCATCCTGTTTCCCAGTATTTAACTGTGAATTGATTTTAATGAATGAATAAGTTAACACATTGCTTAATATAAGAATGTTCAGTGCATTTGCCTGTCTCTTTATAACTATTTTCAGGAGCCACCAAACTAGGTCAGAGGTCAAGGAGACCTTGAGTGGAACTGATGGCTGAGGACTGGAAGCAACTGTTTCTATTGTTATTTCTAGGAGTTAATACTGTCTAAAATGTCTAAAGTTATTTTGCTATAGTTTTACGGTTAAATCTTTTAAAGTGATTCTACTTTTTATTCAAGATAGACTTTGTGTAGTAAGAATATAACTGCCTGAATGTAGATTATACCAGTTTTTAACCAGTTTCGATGAAGACGGCTGACAGTACACTCAGCCTTGAATAAGAAACAGATTGTACTTTAAGTGTGTGTGTTTGATTTGATTGTTGATCCGTTTCACAGGTCTGGAGTCAGCTCTAATCAGTCTAAGGGATGTCTGACGTTTATGCTTAAGATATTGTTCAGAATATACGCACAAACCCCATGTGGAAATGTTCCTAGTCTATCTGTGTTTTAACCAATCAGGTTAGGACATCTGTATGTGTGACGCAGTTAATGACGTTATGTGACAGTATAATTGTTATTGATTGGTGATTGTAAGCAGAGCGGCCTAGGAACTCATTGCGAGTGTTGAAGCTGGCTGCTGCTGATTTAACTGCAAACTATCTTCAGTAAACTTGATTTATTTATTTAAATCTCTGACTCCGGCTCTTCTTCATCAACCAGACTGCTCATTCTTTGGGTCAAACTGTAAACTATCCCTACAACATCTGTTTGGACTGTGGGGGAAACCGGAGCACCCAGAGGAAACCCATGCACGCCAACTCAGGGAGAACATGCAAACTCCACACAGAAGCGCCAACTGAGCCAGCCGAGGCTCGAAACGGCGACCTTCTTGCTGTGAAGCCACAGTGCTAACCACTGAGACACTGCACCACCCTAAATAGAGAATGTTTTGTTTTGTGGTTACTAACTCACAAGCGTGTCTATCAATATCAAGTGGTGCTTTGTACAAATGTACAACTTAAAAACAATTTTACATCACACATCAACTGCAAGATCCCAGTGCCACATACAAAATTTCTACACTATATAGCAAATTTGTTAATGCTTCCAAAGAATCTACAAATCATAAAAGACTGGCTTGGATTGAAGACTTTTAAATAGATATTACAGAAAATGAATGGGAAGAAAGTTGTCTTCGAGCGCAAACATTATCAATCCATACCCGTTTTAAACTAATCCAATATAATTGGATAATGAGAACATATATAACACCAGAAATGTTAAATAAATTTAATAGAAATATTCTGGACATTTGTGGAAAATGTTTGACTCACATGTTGTGATGGCAATGTGTGCACTTGCAATTCTTTTGGAAAGAAAAAATTGGTGTAATCTCTAAAACTATTGGTAAAGAAATCCCTGTTTGCCCTAAAATCTGTTTCCTTGGTCTTTTCCCACCTTCCTTATCGCTGAAGTCATATGAACAAAAGTTTATAAATCTGTGTCTATTACATGCGAAGCGCCTGATTGCCATTCACTGGAAAAGTACTCATGCTCCATCCTTGTCACTCTGGATTAAGGAAATGTCTTCGTGTATAGCAATGGAAAAGTTGACATTCAATCAAACAAAAAATGCACATATTCTACAAGATTTGGGACTGCTTCCTTCATTTTTTAAATAAGAGTGGACTGACTGTTTAGTAATCCCAAACAATGTGACTGTTAAAATACACTGTGTTTGTAATGACTAACTTTAATAAACTTTTCACTTTCACTGGAATGTATATGTTGAAATGTCAATGTTTTAATGGTATTTATATATATATATATATATATATATATATATATATATATATATATATATATATATATCCTTATATATATATAAAAAATCCTTAAAAAATCCCGTATTTTATACTTTTTATTTTTATTATTATTTTATCTTATTTTAGTTAATCTTTATTTTCTATTTATTTGTTTATGTATTACTTTCCTCGCATGAGAATGCATTTTTTTTATTCTATTCTTAAAAAAAAAAAAAAAATATTTGAACGTTGGGATGGGGCGGGAGTTCTTTGATTGGTATTTGGTTACTAATACAGTATGAATGTATCACATTTTTCTGAAACAATAAAATGTAAAAAAAACATTAACTGCACATTGTTACTTTTGACACAGTCAGTAGGGACAAAAGTAACACACGCCTGGGTCAAAAGTAACAATGTTAGATACATTTACTACCTTAATCTTGTTTATGTTAAACATATCTGACTATGACCTTGTTAATAATCACTGCATGTCACGACATATTAATATTGTTTCTTCTGGAGAAAGTCTTATTGGTTTTATTTCGGTTAGAATAAAAGCAGTTTTTAATTTTTTAAAAAGCCATTTTAAGGTCATGATTATTAGCCCCTTTAAGCTATATATTTTTTCTCGATAGTCTACTGAGCAAACCACTGTTATGCAATGACTTAACTAATTACCCTAACCTGCCTTAACCTAATAAACCTGGTTAAGCATTTAAATGTCACTTTAAGCTGTATAGAAGGTCTTGAAGAATATCTAGTCTAATATTATTTACTGTCATCATGACAAAGATAAAATAAATCAGTTATTAGAGATGAGTTATTAAAACTAATTTGATTAGAATTGTGTTGAAAACATCTCTTCATTAGACAGAAATATACAGGGGGCTAATAATTCAGGAGGACTAATAATTCTGACTTCAACTGTATTCCTAAAGCACTAAACGCCCTTCAGGCGACGCAGTGATGCAGTAGGTAGTGCTGTCACCTCACAACAAGAGGGTTGCTGGTTCGAGCCTCAGTTGGGTTAGTTGGTGTTTCTGTGTGGAGTTTGCATGTTCTCCCTGCGTTCCCCCACAGTCCAAACACATGCGGTACAGGTGAATTGGATATAGGCTAAATTGTCCGTCGTGTTTGAGTGTGAATGAACGTGTGTGGATGTTTCCCAGAGATGGGTTGCGGCTGAAAAAGCATCCGCTGTATAAAAATGTGCTGAATAAGTTGGCGGTTCATTCCGGTGTGGCGACCTTGGATTAATAAAGGGACTAAGCTGAAAAGAAAATAAATGTATGAATGAATGACTAAACACCCTTCACTGTTGACTAAGAAACGAAAGACAATAAATGAATGAATGACTAAACACCCTTCACTATTGACTAGGAAACGAAAGCTGTTTATGGAAAGTAAAACTGATCACACCCTGAAAATGCTGTTTTGCATGTTTACAGTAGACTATGCAAACAGGAACAGCGAGAATCTGAAGAATGAGGAGAGTTAATTCTGTTCTCTTAATTTTATATTGTAATGGTTGAGGTTTATTTCTGAATATGATCAAGTAAGTATAAGTTTTGTTCATTATCAGTAAATACATTAATGAAACCTTATTGTAAAGTGACCAAATATACAGTTGAAGTCAGAATTATTCGCCCCCCTATTAATTTTCTTTTCTTTTTTAAATATTTCCCAAATGATGTTTAACAGAGCGAGGAAATTTTCACAGTGTGACTGATAATATTTTTTTTTCTGGGGAAGTCTTATTTGTTTTATTTTGGCTAGAATAAAGGCAGTTTTTACATTTTTTAAACAGCATTTTAGGGACAATATTATTAGCCCCTTTAAGCTGTATATTTTTTCAATAGTCTACATAACAATCCATCATTATACAATAACTTGCCTAATTACTCTAATAACTGCCTAGTTAATCTAATTAACCTAGTGAAGCCTTTAAATGTCACTTTAAGCTGTCTAGAAGTGTCTTGAATAATATCTAGTAAAATATTATTTACAGTCATGATGGTAAAGGTAAAATAAATCCATTATTAGAGATGAGTTATTAAAACTATTATGTTTAGAAATGTGTTGAAAAAAATCTGCTCTCTGTTAAACAGAAATTGGGGAAAAAATAAACAAGCGGTCTAATAATTCAAGGGGGCTAATAATTCTGACTTCAACTGTATTTCCCAAATCATGTTTAACAGAGCAAGGACATTTTCACAGTATGTCTGATCATATTTTTTCCACTGAAGAAAGCATTATTTGTTTTATTTCGGCTAGAGTAAAAGCAGCTTTTGATTTTTAAAAAGCATTTTAAGGTCAATTTTATTAGTCCCTTTAAGCAATATTTTATTTTTTTCCGATAGTCTACAGAACAAACCATCATTATACAATGACTTGCCTAATTACTTTACCCTGCCTAGTTAATCTAATTACCCTAGTGAAGCCTTTAAATGTCACTCTAAGCTGTATAGAAGTGTCTTGAAGAATATCTAGTCTAATATTATTTACTGTCATCATGACAAAGATAAAATAAATCAGTTATTAGAGATGAGTTATTAAAACTATTGTGTTTAGAAATGTGCTGAAAAAAAAATTCTCCATTTAGGAGGGCTAATAATTCTGACTTCAACTGTATTCCTAAAGCACTAAACACCCTTCACTATTGACTAGGAAACGAAAGTTGTTTAAGGAAAGTAAAACTGATCACACCCTGAAAATGCTGTTTTACATGTTTACAGTAGACTATGCAAACAGGAACAGCGAGAATCTGAAGAATGAGGAGAGTTAATTCTGGTCTCTTAATTTTATAGTGTAATGGTTGAGGTTTATTTCTGAATATGATCAATTTAAATGTCACCGATGCAAATACTGTAATTGACAACAAGACAATCATTTTCAGGTCATACAGGCATAATAAAACCTCATTTGAAATGCTTATGATTAGGCAGAGATGGCAAAAGTATCCTTTACTCAAGTAGAAGTACAGATACTCATGTTGAAAACAACTCAGGTAAAAGTTGAGGTACTGACTTCACTTTTGTACTCAAGTAATAGTAAAGAAGTATTTATTACTAATACCTGTTTTAGTTTGACGCTGGTAATTACACAACACATCTACATCAACACAAAATAACTTACATTTCTAATTTGTTTGTAAAATAGCCAAGCAACATCGCTGTACAGTATTGTCCAACACACAAAACTTAACTTATGGCTGTTAAGACAACAGCTGCCATACTCATTCATACTCTAAAGCAGCGGTGGCCAATCCTGTTCTGGAGAGCCACCTTCCTGCAGGTTTCAGTTGCTACCCATATCANACACACCTGAACCAATTAATTAGGATCTGAACACCACGTGACAATTACAGGCAGGTGTGTTTGATATGAGTAGCAACTGAAACCTGCAGGAAGGTGGCTCTCCAGGAACAGGGTTGGCCACCGCTGCTTTAGAGTATGAATGAGTATGGCAGCTGTTGTCTTAACAGCCATAAGTTAAGTTTTGTGTGTTGGACAATACTGTACAGCGATGTTGCTTGGCTGTTTTACAAACAAATTAGAAATGTAAGTTATTTTGTGTTGATGTAGATGTGTTGTGTAATTACCACCGTCAAACTAAAACAGGTATTAGTAATAAATACTTCTTTACTTTTACTTGAGTACAAAAGTGAAGTCAGTACCTCAACTTTTACCTGAGTTGTTTTAAACATGAGTATCTGTACTTCTACTTGACTAAAGGATATTTTTGCCGTCTCTGCCTAATCATAAGCATTTCAAATGAGGTTTTATTATGGCTGTATGGCCTGAAAATGATTGTCTTGTTGTCAATTACATTATTTGCATCGGTGACATTTAAATTGATCAAATTCAGAAATAAACCTCAACCATTACAATATAAAATTAAGAGAACAGAATTAACTCTCCTCATTCTTCAGATTCTCGCTGTTCCTGTTTGCATAGTCTACTGTAAACGTGTAAAACAGCATTTTCAGGGTGTGATTAGTTTTACTTTCCTTAAACAACTTTCGTTTCCTAGTCAACAGTGAAGGGTGTTTAGTCATTCATTATTTATTTTCTTTCATTTCTTAGTCAATAGTGAAGGGTGTTTAGTGCTTTAGGAACACAGTTGAAGTCAGAATTATTAGCCCTCCTAAATGGAGAGATTTTTTTTTTTCAGCACATTTCTAAACACAATAGTGTTAATAACTCATCTCTAATAACTGATTTATTTTATCTTTGCCATGATGACAGTAAATAATATTAGACTAGATATTCTTCAAGACACTTCTGTACAGCTT